TATTCTATTCTATTCTATTCTATTCTATTCTATTCTATTCTATTCTATTCTATTCTATTCTATTCTATATCCAGCAGTCACAGTGCGAGGGGCGGGGTGCACCCTGGACTTGTGGTCATGTAGTGCTATTCTAAAAAGCAGTTCTTTTCATCTGAAAAGCATAAACTCACACTGCACTTCCTACAGAGGTTATTGTTGAAGACTTTATTGCTGTGTCTGCAACATCCTCTTTAGTTTTACAGGGAATGTGAAATCATATCTTTGCACACATCCACTAGTGGAACACGGAACTTCCTTAGAGCAATTTTTTCTTGTAAGAACATATTTACATATTCATTAGGTCTTGTTTAGCCTTATAATCCCAATGTATTCCAGTGTCCAGAACAATGCACCATAACCACTAACATTCACACTATTCACATCTGTCCCCACACCCAGTAACCATCCTATACAACCAGTATCTGGCTGTAGATATTTGAGCAAACAAAGCCAAGAAAAAACAGCTGTATGTGTATTTTTACAGATAAAATACAGACATTTCAAAAACTGCTACAGTAAGGTCTTAAAATATCACAACAATAAAACATGTTTTCTAATCTTTATCCTTCAGAATTATTCAAATCTGTTCTAAATGGATAAAAAAATAACAATAGCAAATAATCAAATGTGTTGCACAATGGCTCAGTGGCAACATGATGGCTCAGTGCTTAGTACCAAAGCCTCACAGCAAGAAGGTCCTGGGGTTCGATCCCCGGTTCGGACCTGGGGTCTTTCTGTGTGGAGTTTGAATGTTCTCCTCGTGCTTGCGTGGGTTTTCTCCAGGTACTCCAGTTTCCCCAACCCCCAAAAACATGTACAACAGGTTGCCTTCAGGCCCAGGCCACCCTTGAAAGAGCGATCTGCGGTCTCAACTAGACTTGCCTGGTTAAATAAACATAAATAGTTTTTCTAGTAGTAATATGTATTTTGCAATATACATCTGAGAGATGCCATGACCTCATGTTTTGTGCCATTTTCCATTTTGACTACCGTTGTACCCAACGTTGTAAAACTACAACAAAGACATAACAAGCCAAAAATCTAAGTTGGTGCATGCATTCAACAACAATTTAGTAATTATTACATGTTGTAGACATTCAAATAATCACAATAAATAAATAAATAAATTTAGGGATTTTACTTCAGTGTTGAGATATTCACTATAGTAAATGAGAGAGCGGTGCATGAAGGAAGGTTCGCAAGTTGTATAACTTCATGGCCTGATAGTGAGACCTGTTTACACATTTACCATCCAATGGCATTGCAGGGCTGAACAATAAGATCTAATCATGACGTAAACATAAAAATACATTGGAAAAGTACATATGCAAGTTTTGGTACAGCTAAAAGGCATGTTGTAATTTTGCAACAGTGGGTCTTACAGGGTTAATGTAGTGGATGCTGCTTGCAGAAAAATGCTGAACCCTGCTTGTACCTTTGGGTGAACATATGAATTAGTTTAAGAAGCTAAAAGCCTTAGTTTAAAACTGCCTTTTAAAATTTCTTCTATCTGATTTGAAGGATTGTGGTAGAAATAATACTTTATGTTTAAGCAAGTAATTCATGACATCCTTTAATGACCTAGGTTTTCCTGACATGCTGTTCATCTGCAGACAGAATGATTAAAGTCAGAACAAGGTCTGCTAACAACAATAATCATTCTTAGATATCACTTGTGTTTATCTTTGTGTTTTCCATTGACCTTGTATCAAATCTTGCTAAGATGACAGAATGTTAATATATATATGAGGCCTCTCGAGACAAAAGTGTTCAGACAGAGTTCAACAGTAGTGTGGAGAGACTGATAGAGAGAAGCAGAGACACAGAGACAGAGGCACAGAGACAGGCCAGGTTCTCTGTGTTTCCTGTTGTTACAATAAAACTCAGCTGATCATCTCACGGAGTACCTTCATTCTTGGACCACATATTTCTCTCTGTTGTTAGATAAACATTTACCATAACAGTTGGCGTTGTCGCAGAGACCACTAGGAGATCGACGGACCAAGGCCACATTGCAGGTGGACTGATATGAGCGAACAAGGACTGGACTGCTCAGGACCGTGACTATATAACAAGGATWAACAATAATGACAGTATTACTAATGACAAAATGACTAATAAATAATAAACTGGTCTAAATCAACAAGGTATATCCAAAATCTAAAGTGTACMTGGTTAGATTAAATCATAAATATGAGGATGGCTGCCAAGGTTGTTGCATAGTAAGTCAAAATTTGTTCAATGTCAGTGTGTGTGGGAGATAAAATAATGTGCATGGCCTAAAATAAAGTTTTGTATGTCAGGCACACAAAATTAGATTGTAATTTTCAAAACATGGCCATGAAAACATGGCAGCGTGGCTCAGTGGTGGAAAACACTGAGAATTCAGTAAGGATGCAATTATTTTCTTACAATTCTTAGTCACCACTTAGTCACCAACAGCTGGGCTCCTATGACATAGTGGCTTAAGGGTAATTCAGTGATGTACCACAAAGGTTTGAAAAGGACATTTTTCTTTCTTTCTTGTTATCTGGCAAATATTGCTACTGTGACTTTTCTGAGCTTGACCTCATTCTATGTCATTGCCCAATCAACGTAAAGGCCTGCTGCAAGGAGCACCATCCTTTCTTGGGTGATAGCGGCTATGTTTGTTGTTGCCCCAGAAGCTCTCATTGATCATCTCATGATGCATTTTTAATGAGTTCTAGGAGCACTAGCCTGTGTGTATCCTGTGTGCTTTCATCATTTTTTATCCTGCAGTTACCATAGCATACACAGCTACTGTATGTGGATCTAGCAGTTATGTTCAAAGTCAATATGGCCAATGTTCAAAGCTTTTCAATTGTGTTGTTGAGAAATAACCTTTTGTTTTGTATTGTTGAAGAAAAATGGCAACTAAACAATTAGGACCTCTAAGAATGAATCTAAACAATAAACGCGTTTCTATCAAAGAAGGGATCTTATGCTGTATAATAAAGGAATTTTGTTWAAATGATTAGCCGGTGTTGAAGCAGCAGGGTGAACACATATGCACTACTGTCAGAAAAAAATAAGAAACTGGATTTTTCTAAAATACACTGGCAGAGTGCGATGGACTTGCAGCGTGTCCAGGGTGTACCCCGCCCCTCGCACTGTGACTGCTGGATATGGGCACCTGTGACCCACACAAACCTGAAAGGAAGAAGCGTGTACAGAAATTGGATGGATGGGTGGATGGATGGATGGATGGATGGATGGATACATATACAGAGTTTTTGATCTTTGGTTTATACATAAAATGCATTTATGTGCTTTTATACTATCTAGGGGCGGCTGTGGTGTAGTGGTAGAGCAGCCGGCTTGGGACCTGAAAG